GAGACAGTTTTGTTCACATCTCAAGTTTAAACTGTCCAATTTACAAGGTAGCACTTTGTGTTTAATATGACAGGAAGAAAAATAAAAATACATGAGTATTTTGAAACACAGTTGAACCACTTTCATTATTGTACACTGCAAAAAATAGAAATCTAAATAAGTCATTTTTTCTTGCAATAAGTTCATTTTCTCTTGAATTGAGGACATAAGTGAGACATCTTGCCAATGGAACAAGACAATTTACACTTAAAATAAGAAAACTCAATTGCATTGTCTTATTTCAAGTGTATTCCATCTAATTATCTTACTTTAAGAGTAAAAATCCTCATTCCATTGGCAAACTATCTCATTTACCTACTCAAATTAAGGGTAAATACTGTTAATTTAAGACATTTTGACTTGTTTTTAGATAATTTTTGCAGTGTAAAAACAGATCGAATCGAAATTAATCAATTTAGAACTGAATGAATCAGAATCGAATCGATACAGGACTTTGGTGAAAATACCCAGTCCTATCTATAACCAATAAAATCATCACTCCTGCATGTTTTGTTGGGTTTTTTCCTGGTTAATGCACCAGGGCTTCAATATACGATCCTTAACCTCTGGTTTGACATGATTTATTCATTACTGGTGCAGGTTGGTACCTGGACAGGAAGCTGCTGAGGTCCGGCAGGTCGTCGGAGTCCAGCACCAGGTTCAGGTCAGTAATTTTCTGCTCAGAGCTTGATTCATTCTGCAAACATAAAACAGCATCAAGTCAAAATGATCCAGTTTGTTCCAGCAGGAAGTTTCCACTGTCTGCAACAACATGGATAATAACTAATGAACATGTGGATGCAGCAGATGTAAGCAGGTCTGCATGCAGCCCTGCTGTTGCTTCCATTAGGACTTAATGAGGATCCCTCTGTGTTGGTGGAACATCAGTCAAACATCAGAGGACAGTAGACCAGACACAAGGTCAGAAGGTCAGTGTTTTTTTCTAAAAGGGGAAACTCTCTACAGGAGCTGTAAGGCCGGACTGACCCTGGAACAAGCTGGGATCCCCAGGAGGAGCTGGAGGAGGTCTCTGGGACAGATGGAGGCCAAACATGTGGAGTCTTATCTAAGACCAGAGACCCGAGTCTCTCATTAAACCATCAGGATGAGGAAACACTTTGACCACCTGATTGAATTTACAGATTAAATCACCTCCAAACAGCTCTGGGCAATATGACTAAAAACTAACAATATATGTCTTAATTTTAGTTGATACAATACAGTTTACATATTTAAAGCCTCATAAAGACATAAAAAATGCACCAACAGGATCCTGTAGAAACTTATGAGAATTATTTAAGCATGTTTAGAATTTATTTATGCCTTGGGATTAATCCTTCAGGGAAATTCTGGTCCCAGTGGCTTATATAGAGAACAAAGAGGCAAGATGCCATTAAAGAAAAAATAAAGCATGTATATGGTACAAAAAAGGAATAAAAAATTAGATATAAAAATATCTGCACAATAGAGAGCTAAGAAAAGACTTACATGGCAGTTGATTGGGGTTATTTCACTTGCGCTGTTTAAAAGATTTTGACTTTAAAAAAAAAATCTTGACGATTATCTGCTTTTAAGCACAAAACACATAAAACTAAATGAAATCTGTGAGTTCAGTCGACAACAAATGCTTTAATTAGACTGTAATGGCTGTTGAAATGTCATAAAAAATATGGTTATATATTGATATTCAATTATTGTCCAACTGTAACTCTTTATAAACTACTTTCCTTTCTTATCTGAGGATTTTTGGATGTGAAAGTTTTAAAATGTTCCACAGAGCTAATGAATTGGACCAAAAACAAAGCCTTGCTGTGGCGTAGAAAACATGCAAATTGAAAAGGACAATTTGCATGTTTTATAATTCTGACATTTTAATTTCTGACATTAGATGTCGTCATATGTCACTTGGATGATTGTGAAAATATAAAAATTGTAAAGATTGTAAAAATATACATGAATATTTTGCATTTAGGACAATAAAAACTTTCTGGTCTGTCAATCTGCTTTATCCAGAAATCCTCAACTGGAAAACGTGTAGTTTCACCTGGTTTAACTTTGTAGAAAATACTTTTTTATTAAACCTTTGGCTATCGGATTATTAAATTGTTATATAAAAAAAATGGATTAATCAATTACTAAAATAATCATTAGTTGCAGCCCTTGTTCAGTGTAGGGCTGGGCAGTTAATTTGCAATATAATGGCAATTTAACAAAACACCATTTTCAAATCAGAGGCACTGCTTTTCAATCACATTATATTTACCGGTAACTAGATTAAGACACTAACTTCCCCTCCAGCCCTTTAGGTGGCGGTAAAGCATTTTACCACCACAGAAAGGTAGAGAGGGTTGCAGATGACAGCAGATCCATGCATGCATGAAGTAAACACTTTTTCACACAATGGTTACAGTAAAGTCCTGTAACAATACACTCTGGACAGAAGCGTTCAACAACTGAAAGCCAGGAGTGAAACATCTATAAACTTGGAGTTAGAAAATCACCTTTGTTCAAAGATAACTGCAATTTGTTTGTTTTCACAAAATCTTTCAGCCCTCCTTCAGCGTCCAAACTGCAGAGATGACAGCTGGAAGCCTTCCTGTTTAGATTTTCCAAACGGAAACTTGTCGTCAGATATTATATGAAGCTACATGAATAAAGTCACTGATCATTAGCAGATCCTCCAGTTCTTATGAAACATGTCAAATTACTGATTGGTAAATTTATCCTGTTTGCGGCAAACATAATTAAATTAATAAAAAAACTAGTCTTTTTTTATTCAAGCACCTGTTAATTCAAGCAACAGTTGAACTCTGGCTGCTCTGACTGGTTCTAACTAGACGTTTTTGTCTTTATTTCTTTTTTAAACACTAACATGATTAATAATGTAGGTCTGTGTATCTGATTTCAAAGTTCCAGATTTAATTAACTAACTGGATTATTATATATTTATTATGTTTCTTAGCAGCAATCGCTCATGCTAATAATGACGGCAGTTCTTTGCAATTTTTGGTGCATTTCATCAGACCTTCTTAGGATTTATTTTTTATTTTTTTTTATTTTGTCAAATTAAACTCCGTTATTTCTACTAGTACATCCCTTATCAACAAATCAGAGGCAACAACCAGACGTCTGTGTCTCTTACTAATATCTATCATAGTGATATTATTCATTTTTTCCAAAGGTTTGAGAACCAGTGACCTATTTATGGCTCTCTGTCTCCCTCTGCTGGCTAAAGATGTGAACTCCTCTTCAGTAAGGCAAGGCACATTTATTTGTATAACACAATTATAGCACAGTACAAAGACAATGCAAAGTGCTTTGCATTATTAAAATATAGGAAATCAAAACACAATCAAAGCAAATAGGAAAAAAATAAAATAAAATAAAAAAATGCAGAAACAAAAAAGAATATTAAAAACAGATGGACTAAAGAAAATAAAAAAGTCGAACTAATGATGCTTTAGTTGAACTGTTTAACTAGAACAGTTGAAGGCAATCCTAAACAAATGTGTTTTTAGTCTTGATTTAAAGGAACAGTAGAACCTCTAGAACCCAAACCAGGATTCATGATTTTATTTCAGATTGAAATATGTGATTAAACTGAATTCTAAATCAAGTTTGGCTAAAAGTTTAGAAAACAAACATGAAGAGTTCACTTCACAGAGCTGAACACCAGGAGATTTATTCACTATATGAACGGCTGTTAATGTCAGCTCTGATCATCACATTATAGAGGTGGTTTAGCAAACTAATAAATGATCAGAACATTACAACAACATCAGAGAGCCAGCGGTCTGAGAACATCAGCCGCTTCTCTAAAACAGCCTTAATTGAACGACTTACCTTGACCTCAGACAGCAGGAACTCCACCTGGAAGCTGAGCTCAGAGCTGCGACATGACAAACAAATCTGCTGGACGGTTTCTGGGCCTTGAAACAAACACACAGAGGGAGAAATGTTAACAAGAATTCAGAAAGACGAGATCAGTTTGGACAAACGGGACACTTGATTCTGCCCAGACGATATATGATGAAAGCAGCTTTTTTTTATTATTATTATATTAGAGCAAGCACGGACCCAGAAACATTTAACAAGAGTATTTAAGCTGAACAACATGTTTAACACCTAAAGGTACATATAAAACTAATTAGATGCTGGTTAAGATTCTCAGTTATCCAGGTTATTTTCAAAAAAGTTAAAAAACAATCCACTGGACTTTGTTTCTAAGTTTGAAGACATTTCTCTTCCATCCAGGAAGTTTTATCAATTCAAAATGTCAGAAATAGCGTTGAGTTAGAGGCTTTATACAGTAGCCCAATAAAACAATGTTTGATGGGCTACTAGTTTATAGTTTATATAGATTATTAAAGAGTGGAAATATTTCAAGTACTATATTATAGCGGTAATCACTAAATATATGTCTTAAA